TCGTGACAACTCCCCCTCTGGGGTGTGTTTAATAAGGAGGCGCTGATGACCAGGCCCTGCAAACACATCCTCATTACCTATCAACGGTTGATGATGGTAACTGGAAATCGTGACTGGGATTCACACATCAGTCATGATCATAGTGACAGATGTTATCGCTCTGCCTCTCACCACGACTCCATAAGCATCTTTCATTAACATGAAGCCCGCCGACGCACACTCAAGCATGAGTAGCGCAGTGATTACACAGGAAATTAAGTATACATATCCATTCTTATTCTATTTATTAGAAGCAGTTGCCAGCAGCTTGGTGGCACAGGAAGTAAAGCGGCTTCCTTCCAGATTCAGAGCAAGAAGTCAGTATCCTGCAATAGTTTCCCTTATTTATCTGAGAGTACCTGAGGACTATTTTGCCATTACCTCACTAGAGAAATTAATCCCTTGAAACAAATACTGTCTGGGTTGAGTAGTGTTGCTCATATTGTTACTAATCTTTAGTTTATACAGTATTAACGATTTAAAAGTTTAGGCACATAACTCAAGTATATAATATTGAATGGGTCATGAATTTAAAGTTTTTTACAAAAATAATGGTAGGCTTAAACCTTCTGATGTTTAGAATGAAAAATGTGTCTGCTAGTGCTTTAATGTGGCATTTTAATCAACCATTTTCATTACCGTGTTGATTTCTGCAACCGTGCTTATTCACACTGCCAATTAATTTCTGCTTTAGGTATTTTATTATATATATAAAAACAGACATAATAAACTAGTTTCTCTTCATTAGGGTAGTCCAGTACTGTCTCTTAGTTTGTGAAAATACCTCATGTAAGTATGATAAATACTGAAATATTAAAGGCATTTAAACTGGAGATTTATATTACTTCAATATTATCTAAAAATATAAAAACCAGCAACTTTTACTATTGCTGTTTTTCTATATGAATGTATTAATCTACATTTAAGACATGTCAGGAGTATTTTATAAAATAATCAAGCTAAACCTTTTTTGACAAGTGTACACAGCTAGGACAATTATTGATTTAGTTTTGCAGTTCACACTTTCTCCTCGTAACAGTGGCTGCCATCTGGCCCGTGAATACGGTCATTATAAATTAATTGGTCAAGAATTACAAGCAGCGGAACAAAAGAGGACATTAGCAACGCGAACTTCACCAAGACGTTAATTCCAACAACAGTTATGAAGCTTTATTTACTATGATGACTAATTATGATAGTGCATGGAAATAAATAGTGGATGCCACACAGTAATGAGACAGGTGGTGTATTAGTGCAGAGTTCTGCTGTGGCTGTCTCCTCTCCAGTGTGCAGAGCGTTTCAGGCAGACAGGTAGACACTTTTTTTAAAGGAGACACCCACCAGGGCCAACCATGATAACGCCGGCTGTCCAAGATATGCCAGCTCCGCTTAAAGAGTGTGAGCTGCGACTGTGCTTCTATTCAGATGAGCCTTCTTGAAACTGTTGATGGACGGTTGAGGTAATTATCCTGCCTGAGTTATGATCATTAGGCATTGTGGTTCAACACTCACACTTATATTTTGGTGAGTTGTTTTGATGCCTCCTGTCAGCTGGGTAGTGGTGTACCAGACAGCCTATTCTCACTTGTGACTAACTATGGTCAATCAATAGATCTTTTAAAACTTTAAAAGAGTTCACTTCCTGTTTTCAAACGTTTTACCTCTCTGGGCCAACACAAAGACCTCCACACTTTTCTCATTGCTCTTACTCATTTAAGGGAAAATGTCCTTCCACAAACAAAAATATTTGTTCGACTTACCTCTGTGCTTTTTATTTACTCAACTTTTTGGAGCAAGCAATAACAAAGTCTTATTCGCAGTGAATGCCAAAGCAAAGGCCCCAAAACATTTCAACAGAGCTTTGATTGGGGATTAAAAATAATTAAAAACTATTTTAACCTCTTAAAGGCTTGGCTTGGTTTGACACAGACTGCATACTGTAACAATGTACAAACTCCTCAGTTAATATAGCTGCAGGCTGTAAGGCAGTGTGTTTGACATCCCGTACATGCAGCCTCCTGCCTTGGCCTCCAGGCGTCAGTTCCTGCAATCTGTCAGAAGCAATATTCGATGAGTCACTGTCCCTGAGCTGGAAACAAGTTCAACCTCACCTTTTAAGCTTATTCTATATTTGCACATTCAGGTCAGGTGTGTACCTTTTATCCTGACTCACAGCTTTGTAAGACAAATTGCAGCTGCAGACTTTTTTTGTCACAGCAATTTGACTATTAAGCGAGCCTCATGCAAGTTCAGATATACAGTGGCCACGTACTATTTTGCATATTTTAGAGCATTCTGGTGGTTTATAGCACAGAAGCAATTAAAACACAGGATGTCTCAAGGGCCCCCACCTGTCTTGTACCCAAACAACCCTTTGATCTCTGGTAAGTGGCTGCATTCATATTATCAGACTTTATATGAATAGGATTCAATTATTTCAGAATTCATGCAGCATCACCAAAAGTCTAGAGAGTTGGGGAGCAGCAGCCATCACTGCAGGATCTTGGAGAGGTTTAGGATCTTTCTGGATGTGTGTCGTAACACTGCCCCCTTATGGTCATAACAGAAGGAGCATCTGGAGCATGTGAGAGTTTGTGTTTTTGACCCTCAACAGTCAGGGGTCAGTATTTTCTTGTCTTACACCTGCAGAAACCGTATTTCTTTTTTTCGCCCATGCCATCTGCCTTAGTGTTAGTCATGTGAATCACATGCAGAGATGCAGCTTGTACACTGTGGTGCTTTTTATTCCAGCTTCATCATCCATGTAAATGTGTTTGTTGTATTCTACAAGCTGAAAAAAGAGAAGAAGAGAAGGGCATCATACCTTGGTTTCTGCTGCGAGCAAATATTCAATCCAACATATGGGGATGGTAGTAGAGCAAAATCACATGAATTAAAGTGTGTAGATTAATCAAACCTTTAAATACAACTAGGTTAACAATATGATATTATTGCTTCCCCCTCAAGCAGGCAAAATAGATCTATTTGCTATTTAAATGCATCTCACCTGAGACACAAATGTTCACTTCTTGGTACGTTTTTCCTCACTGTGACACCAAAGCACTCTAAAAATTAAGCAGATAAACGATGTTATGGCTCCTTCATGTCCACTCAATATTATTATCAGCACTTTAATGAAATAGAAGCACTACTAGCCTTATGCAGCTGTTTATGATAGCTTTTGTGACTTCAAATACTTGTGTCAACAACAGGGAATATTTAGCAGCAAAAAAAGTAGGGCCTTATGATTCAAAAAGGAGACGATAACTGCACAAATTACCAGACTTCATTATTTATTCTAACGTCGATAAGAAATAGTGTGCCCTTATCAGCATTACATAGTCTGAATAAACATTTCAGTTTTATATCCGCTGCCTCTTTTGAATAATTAATTGTCACTCTCTAATCCACCGATTGGGTATAAGTGCTTTGACGCGAGGACATTACTGGAACAGTATGTTTATTTTATTCTAGCAGATGCATTCTTAGAGGTTGAGCCAAGAAAGCAAACCTTCTGAAATCCAGCGCACCTTCACATTCTTTTATGTGCTTTGGCACGAGGACTGTATGATGATTGCACACATTCTGTGACAACAAAGAACAGGAGAGGCGGTGCAGGAGAGAGTATAAAGACGGGGAAAGAGTCTTGACAGCCTTGAATCAAGATGCTCTAAATGCTCCTCATGTCGTTGTTGATGTTGACTGTCGACACGTAGCAGTATGTCTCCGCCTGTCTCCGTCTGGGTTCCATCGTCGTAGAGTTGCTGCATGCTACGTACAATCAAACAGGCCTTTTATGTCAGGACAGAATACAAGTCAATTAACCTGGAATCCAAGCCAAAATATATGAAGAGAGAAAAATGATTTCCATTTAAAGGAACATACATTAAAGGAAGAAATATATTACCACTTGGAACATTGTTCACTACGCCAATATTGCTAGAAATTCTAAAACAGTTAGACTTATGTACAGCTTTTGGCTAAAGGTCAAAAGCCATGCTAAGCTTTGGGCTAACTGCTCATATCATTTTGCTAACATGATCTAAATGGCAATGCTAACATGGTGATGTTTAGCAGTTATAATGCTGCTATAATGCTAATACCCGGTTTGGTGTTACCATGCTAATATTAGCTAATTCACAAATCAAGCTGAGTCTAATATGAAATCGTTTGTGTATTTGGCCATAATCCAAAGTATAAAGCAAAGGTAACTTTTGAATTGATGGTGCCACCATGTACAACTCAAGCTAAACACCAATGTACCTAAAGTCATTACCAAACAGTGAAAGTTTGCAACAAACTTAGGCAACTTAGCAAGTGTTTGGCTCGCAGTTTCCATGTGCAATGAGATTTTTACTGACATTTCTGGTGCTCTATGTTCCATCCCAAATAAAAAAGGACATAATCTGGCGCTTTTGGTTTATTCAAAATCACTTGGTTTCTTGTTTCCTCCGATATTAGTAATTAACTTTGCGTGTTAAAGATATTAGAATCGATTGCCGAAACAGCGGAAATAACCCAAATTGAAACAAGCCAGAAATACCCATTAAGCTAATAAGGTTGCTTGATCACGCAGCTAGAGCACTTTCTAAGATTAGCAGCAGTTTCTTGTACTAGCTCTGGTTTGGTTCTGGCTCATGGGATGCCAATATATTCAGTCAATCAATTGGCAAGTCAGTCAGCTACACATCAATCCAGTCCAGTGAAGAGTCACACAGTAATTGAACCAGACCCAGTCAAGCACTCGGCCAGTTACCGTGAGAAAAGTCCAGCCAAAACGGCAGGCGATGTCCAACTCCTGATGATTTCCAGATGAGAGCCCAGACGGCCAGGCCTGAGACGAAAACATACTCAGAATAGAAAAAGAGAGAGTGAGAGGGGATGGAAGTAGGGAGGGAGGTGGCAACAAATGAATGCACTGAATGAAGGAATGATCCTGCATATGAAAGTCCTGTGAAATGTTCAAACTCAACAGTCACAGCATTGTCCACCATCGTTGTGTGTGTGATGAGGATCAACATGACGCAGTGGTGGGCTCTACTCATCATTCTTAACCTGGCAATGCACCTGGCAGCCTCTCAGCATCACAGGAAAAGTAGGTGTATCTTTTATCTCCCTATCACTACCATTGGTATATTTGCTTCCTCATTTCAAATAGTATTAGCTTTTGGAAACAAACATGCTTGACAGTTCAATCTTGTTTTGCTTTTGTGTTTCTGTGAAATAATGTGTTTTTCTTCCGGAGATATTGGGAACATTGTGACATGCAAGACATCAACACTTGATTTTCCAATGAAAAGTGACTGGCCTGTTGCAACTGGATCCACTCACTTAGGAAATTCCTTTCTCCAAACTCGCATACTATAACATCCTTGGTCCTCCTTCCTTGCATGATGCTGAAAAAACGCTTCAGAACAGACAGGATTTGAGTGATACTTTAACTAAAATCGTTTTTAAAGGCCTTTCTGCCCTCTGCCAGGAAGCAAATTAGTGCAAGAAAAATTGGGAAATTGTTGTTTTTGTTCATGACAATGTAATATCTGTTTGGCCACCTGAGGGGAGCAGAGAAAGCTGCAAACACAACATTGACATATCACCTTTTTGAAGCAAACATTTGCCTTTTACACATCCATTACACATTAGAATTAATTTCCTCTGTTAGATTACACAGAAGGTATATTGACTAGCCGTTGCTTATATATTTTTGGCATATTAAAACTCAGTCAAAACAACATTTATATCTTTCATAAACAAAAATGGTATTCATTTGAAACTTTTAATTGTGAAAAAGAAAGATTGTCACCTTTATCTTGACTTTTTTCACTGAGTAGAACTTAATCAACTATGTAACATTTTTTAATACAGACTAATAAATCCCAGTGTGTCTAATCATCATCAGTCTTCCAACTATTTTAATATCCGAAGTTTCAGATCCTATCTCGTCTTTCCTTGCGCTACTTGACTTGCTTAGCTTGTAAAAGAAGTGTCTCACAGTGGGAATATGTATGGGGAAGACTCTGTTTACACTGTAAATGTTAGAGTTTGCATCTGAGCTGCTAGAAAAATGCAGTTTTTTTGGATTTTAATATGATTTGGAGGTGAATTTAAATACTAAGCAGAAGATGGGCCATTGCGGCCAAGACTTTCATTCCCTCCCGTGTCCTTTTCACCCCTGTTACCCTAAGCCAGAGGGATCCAGACAACCATATTGTTTTTGTTTTTGTTTGCCTCTCTCTCTCTCTCTCTCTGATCAAGACATCCCTCCAGCCAGGAATACCATTTAGCCCTGCTAATTAATGGATCTTTGTTGTTCCCTCATCTCCTTGCAAGCAGTTAACGGGAGATTACAAGTTCCCTGCCTGTGCATAATGACATTGGGGGAAGCCTGCCCGTCCAAATGCAGATTGTTTGGAGCTCTGCAGGAGGGAGGGGGGGAATGAGGGAAGAACAGACTCAGAATGAGCAACAGGAAAAGCAAAGATGGTGTAAGAAGAGACACCTTTATTTGACACTCAAAATAAGTCAGCTAGAAAAATCATTTTTTCCGCAGCAGTGACACGTTCAAAACTGAATATTAAATACTAACAAATCTTTTAACTGGCTTAATATTTACAGTAACTGGAATGAACTGATTTCGATAACTTGGTATATTTTGCATTGCTGGTGCCGGTCTAATTGCTTGAATCTGTCTTGTCGTGATAATCAGCTTTGCCCTCTCTTTCTCATCACCTGACCTAGACCCTTAGGTACTTGTTCAGTTTCCAGTGTATACAGTATATTAAGGGCTGCTCAATTAATCGTATTTTAATCGCGATTACGATTATGGCTTGTAACGATTACGAAAACAACGTAATCTAAATAAAACGATTATCTTTTTATTATTATTGTTTTTGGTTTTTCAGTTGAATTATACTTTAAGTTAAGGGTAATCAACTGTTAAAAACATACTGTTCAAATGTTTTTTCTCCAATAAATGGATGTTTTCAAAGTTAATGAATAATCGCAATCACAATTATTGACCCAAATAATCGAGATTATGATTTTTGCCATAATCGAGCAGCCCTACAGTATATGTACCCTTTCCCTCAGTTCCTTGCAAGATTGTCTGACTGGTCTCTGTGATGCAACTATTGCTATTTGTGTGTACATTTGAGTCATGTATACCTGCTCTCCTACTAGCTCCTACAAATGAACAACATCACATTTTCTTCTTTTTAACTTCCTTGCATGAATATTGTGGTCTGTTTCTGCGTCTGCATCAGTGCTGCTCCAACCATGTGAGCTTTAACAAGCAATAACATTTTACTGCTAACTGATGTTTCCCGCTGCTGGAATCATAAATTCTCTCTGCACACTTAAGTACTTTTTCAAAGTACTAGACAACTTTTATGTATAGCACAGATTATTGATTTCTAATTCAAACCACCATTGGCTCTGCTTCCCAGGTGTAATGTCCCTGCAGCTACGCAATCTTTTATAAAAATAACCCTTGTTGTGATGAGCACACTTTCTCTTTGTGCTGTTTTGTTTACCTTGACAATGCCTCGATGCAGCTAAAGTGTCTCTTCAGTATCTATTATGACTGCACAGGCATTCCTTCAGCGCTGCTGATCGTGCATTTGGGAGTCACTTACTAAATGAGGAGTGGTAATTTTCACTTGCTAGTTGCAATGTTTTCATAGCTTCATGTCAGTGTTGGATCTAGAAAAAAAAATCCTCAGTGCCGTTTGGGGTGTTAGAACAATTTATGGAGGGTTTTATCTTCTACAATTACACTCCAAACGTTTTTGAAGGCTGATTGTGAATATCCATTGTTGAGAAGTTCCTGAAACGTATGTAGAGTTTACAGCAAAGCCTTTGTCGCACAATAAATAGTTTTAGACCAGAGTTAGATGCTAAGAACTCTACAGTACAAATAAAGCTAGAGCCATAGATGCTTAGCTTAGCATTTTTTTTTGAAGCAATAAGTTAAACACATTGCTTTTATGAGCGTCAATAAAAGTTCCTTGATTATATTATAATATATAATATTATATTATATATTGAACAAGGGAAAACACTTTGTATGACTCTGTCTGTAAGTAACAAAAGAGAAAATTGCAATTATTTCAGTCTTATTGTTATTGTGAGCATTACAAGCAGTACACCTGGCATAAAAAAGTCCTTAGGAGTTCCTTAGATATGGCAACATATTAGTTTTACCTTTTTACTGTACTGATGTGTTATCTTTGGAGTTGATGGATGTGTTACTTTGTACAGCATTCAGGCTAGCTGTCCCCCAGTTTCCACTCTTCTATGCTAAACTAAGCTAGCTCTAGCTAGATTTTAACCATTGAGTGGTGTTAAGTTAGGTTAGTCTTGCAATAAGGAATACAGAAGTATCTCCCAAAATGACCAACTATTACATTTTAGGTAAAGGATTTACAGATTAGTTTCAGATAATGGAGAAAAAAGTTTGGACTTTGAACACTTGACTTAAAGGTAGGGTATGTAAATTTGAGAAACCGGCTCGAGATCGCTAGAATTTGAAAATACACGACCGGAGAAAATCTGCCACTTCCTTATAGAGATGGGCCCCTCCTCCAACACACACGAACGCGCACATGACCAATGAGGGTACGAGATAAGTTTGTGCACAGATGGAAGGCTGACAGGCAGGTAGGCCATCCAGTTATTTTAGTCGGGCCGGCTAAAATGATTGGTCGTGCTTTTTACAGTACTACGGCTTCCACAGATGACATTTTTTTATGGATTTTTTGTCAAAGCACTTAAGATATTCATTGCTATCGGGATGTTAAGAGCATTCCATGGAATATAACAAAAAGTGTATCTCGAGCCGGTTTCTCAAACTTACCTACCCCACCAACTTGTATTTCTATAATCACAACAATGGCCTTTTTTGGTTGGGGCAAGTTTGAGAGGGTGAACGGTTAAGATAATATGCTGACAATAATACCATGTAAGTGGGTTTTATTATTCTAACAATGTAACATAGAGCTGCGTATTTTCTTTTACATTCTGAATGATGGCAGGTACATGAAGAGATGAGCCAGTGCATGTTGCTTTGGCTGGCCTCACAGATGCTATGAAGCCTAACTGTATCTGGACGAGGAGGCTGCGGGCAGCGGGGCCGATCGTTACACCAGAATTGGCGAGAGAGCACACCGTGGATTCCGCTGTAGGACATGAGTTGTATTGTATCTGAATTCAGATGGAGCCCAGCGTTCATGCTGTATACCTCATTAAGTTCTGTGTGTGTGATCTGTGTGATGGCTTACACGCTGAGCCAATAACTGGATGGCAGCAGCATATGCGAGCAGTGGAAAAAGAGAGTGAGATGTCAAAAGAGGTTTAAATTACTTAGTTTTGCTGTGAATCCCCTTTTAGCTCTAGTCAACTTTACTTTTCACTTCACTCTGCAGAAGCAGTGTCATCCAATCGCTCTTGGACTCTCACACAATGGATGGCATTGTAATATGAACGTATTTTAAGAGTCAGGGCAGCAATAGTAGTCGTATAAACAGTATGAAAGGGGAAATGTGGATCCTTGTGTGACCTCTGCTTTTATATTCAAGACTTGACTTGAACTCCCAAAGACTTTTCATTACCAGTGGGAATATCTGCACAACATCACACAGAGTGGTTAAGCAGAAATTAGACTGTGATTGAGAGATCAGGCTGGTTCCTAAATCCTTTCTTGGACACAGATAGCCTTTCTGAGTAGCCAAATGCTAAAAAATAAACTCACTATAGGGGTTTTCCTTCCAAAAATAACTGCGCCCAACAAATGCATTAACATTGTGTCACTGTCGTTTTTTTCACCTTGTTCAGCTGCACTCTATTGACCCATTTCAAGTCTTTGTGTTAAGCTAAGCTAACTGCCTGTTGGTTGTAGCTTAATTGAAAAAATGTGAAACATAGGAAAATAATAAAACAAAATACTTGAATAAATGTACTTATTTACTTCCTACCTATTGATCAAATGTGTCATAGCATGTGGAATTGGCAATTGTTATCACATTCAGTCAAATATAGATTTTGTATCATAAAGAAGTGGCAACTGTTCCACTAGCTGAGAGATAGGTCTTTCTTTCCCGCCCTATCTGGACACCACCAATAACGCGGTCTCTGATCTGCTACACTTCTGAACTGACACTCTGAAATCTGACCAATTGAGGTCAGCTACACCTGCCCCTCTGTGAGCGGGGGTATCTCACCTCTGGGTGCACTGGCCACTGCCACTTGTGAATATAGGAGCATCTGTGGCTCTGGTGAAAGACCTATTACCCTCTGCCCAGCTGGAGCCAGATTCCTTCCCACCTGCATAATATTTGAGCAGTAACGTATCTGTGTTTTCTCAACCTCTGGCCCACCCACAAGCATGAGACATCGGATAATGCGTTGCCTAATTTCGTGAAAACAGGAGAGATCCTCTAATCTAATTTCCTGTACTTCTGGGTCCTAGCTCTGTATCCATCTGCATATAGGATAAAGCGCGGGACGTATTCGCTCATCAACCCCACGTTCCTGCGATCGGCGGAGGATGTGGACCTGCTTTTTGAGGTCAGTTCAGACCCTTTGTGTTCAGAGGTGCTGAAAAGGTTAATGACTCGGCTTTAATACTGGAAACCACTTTAATTATACTGGGAATGTGCAAAAGATCTGTCCCAGTCAAACATTTGTAGTCAATCTTCCTTTGCTAAAAATTGCTGTTCTGCTAATCATGTGGAGAGAACTGTGTGTACCCAAAGTTTTCCTGACATTGATGAAAGGAATGTTTTTTAAGTTGAATGCTGTCGTCAGTTCTAATCACAAAAAGGACAATAAAAATGTTCTTGTAGATAGACTTCTTCTTTCATTGGTGGACCTTTGGCCCGCAGATCCTGCTGGCTGGAATGCAGATCCGAGATGAAGAACACCACATGCTGATCCCAGATGAGGAGCTGGCCTCCCTGAGGAGCGCGGAGAAGCTGGAGGTCATCTGTGAGGACGTCCTGCCCAAGTCGCTCTCAGACATCCGCCGCCTGACAGTGGAGCTGGGCCGGCGCCACCAGCCTCTGAGCTGGCAGGACTTCGAGAGGACGGTGCTGACGCTGGTGTACACCACCCAGACGCTGGCTGCAGCGAGCAGCCAGCAGCAGAAGGAGGCGTGGACAGACGCAGCGGTGCAGCTCTTCAGAGCCCTGCAAAAAGACCTCAAATCCTCTTGAGGGAGGATCACAAGATTTATTATTTTAAGATGTTTTTATGGGCATTCACTTGCTTATGGTCACTGATTCATTGTATGTGTTACACTGCAGTTCCTGTCTGAAGCTTTTTCCAAGAAGTTATCGATCCAGTATACTAATTGTTATAGAATACAAGAAATCAACCAAAAAAGAACTCCTATCCATCCACTAGTTATTAAAATACTAGTTATTGAAAACACTAGTGGGTGGACCTTAAAGGTCTCCTATTATGCTATTTTTAGGCATATATTATGGGTCTCAGATATATAAAAATATATAAAAAACATGCCTATGATGTGTTTTGCTCAAAATACCAAACAGATCATGCATTTTAGACATCCCTCATATCCCTCTAGTTCAGCCCTGTTAGAGAAGCGCTGATTCTGTGACTGTAACTTTAAATTTGAATTTGGCTGATGCTGGCCCCGCCCCCGTTTGAGCATGGCAAGGCAAGCAGTGAGGTCTCCTCTCTGACGGCAGAATGTCAGCTAATTTCTGACGTGATTAAATGCCATATTAGGTTCCAAACCACTTCAACGATTATTTCTGAAACAGTATGGAGCTCAAATGCTTTTTCTCTTGCGGGTTTACCACAAAGTGAGTTCCTTTTTTTATTTCCTACTTTTTTACACATATTCTCTCCAGTACAGGTTAGCTATGAGTGTTAGTGATGCTTGCTAATGTAAACAAATATCATATTACTTCCAAAAAACGTTGTGCTTTGTTCCTGATAGTGACGTTTCTGATAGGGCCGTGGGTGTAAAGCCAGCCCACATTTCTGATATTATGTCATATCGGACGCAAATCTGGATCAGCTCCGTTGTAGCCCCGTTTTTAGAGATTTGTGTACGGAGGAAAAGAGAGAGGGTTTGTTTTCTGACACTTTGTGAGTTCCCTGACACAACGGAGACACAAACAAAAAAAAAGTGCATTTTGCCTTATAGGAGACCTTTAAGATATGATATTTTTTTGTATTTCTGATAACAAATAACTTTCAAACTCAAGTATTTAATGCACTTTACGCTTTTGTGCCAAAGAATCATGGAATAGCTATCAATTTAACTTCAGACCGTTCCTTCTCTAAAGGTTTAAGCAGAGACAAGCCATTCAAGAAAATGTCAAAATATGTCTCCTTTATGTAAAGTTCATCTGCTTTCTACTAGATAACTTAATTTATTTCCATCTTTTTTTTGGCATTTTGTCTCATTTCTGATTAAAATACAGGACATAGTTGGGGAATTGTACGACTATGAATCACTGATTTATGTTCTTTTGATTTTTTCCAATTGTATTTCTCCTCCCAGCTCATACATTCTCAGTTCTGATTGTAACCATAATGCATTATGTTTGATCCTACTTATTGGTTCATTATGTGGAAATGAAAAAAAACCAGCAAAGCATCTGTGCTCCATGTATTTGCGCGCACCACAGCGTGGCCTCATTAATCAAATGTGTCCCAGCGAGCTATAATAAACTGCCACATGCCTGCAGTCTCAATGGGCACATGGGCATGCAGTGGTTAGTCTAAAAACGAGACAAAAGAAAGAACATAAATACTAGTAAATAGTCTGGGTGTTGTTCTGAACCCAGTGTGACTTTTTTCCGATGATTCTGACCTTTAGCCTACTTAGCATTTGCTAAATGAAACTATATGCAGCACATTAGTTTGACAACTTCAAGCAGACTGTTAACATGTTTGATTTTAGATGACATTAGTTGCTTCTCACTGTCTAGAAGAGATTGCGCGGTTCATTTGATTTGCCACTAAAAGCCTTTTGATGAAAGGCCACAGATTGTACTTAAGAGTCAGTTTGCTTCAATACCCCTGATTGCTCATTTGAGCAAACTGTTCAATGTTTGATGAATGTTTGCCACCCATTTCCTAGCTTCTTCTTGAAATAGGTACTTGCCTTAATTGGCTTTCGTGCAGTTCACTCATCTTGGAGTGGATAGAAAACATATATCTGGTTTGTGCTGTTTTCCCTCCTTGAGTCGATTGGTTTTAGATTTGCTTACATTTTGGTTCAATGCAAGCTTTTATCCAGCCTTGGAAATGTTGCTCTCCCAATGCTTTTCACTTCCTGCGTGTTTACACAAGCATTTAATGTCTGAAAATGTAAAAGATGATCACGGATCTTCTTTATTTACAGGATCTTTTTTCTCATGTCAGTATTCATTTGATGCCCAAAGCTATTTACGCTGACTCAGGAGAAGTTATTGACATACAGATGCTGATGAGATTTGGGACGTTTCTGGGCACTACTTGACAGAGCGTGAAGAAACCAGGTATTGGCACAAAAAAAAAAGGAAAGCTTCAGATTTTGTTCTCAGTATTGACTCTGACAGTTTCATTTAGGCACTCCCACACTTTCAGCCCCTCTGCTCCAAGTTATTATAATGACTCCAGACCCAGACTGTAATGATTCTTATCTTTGGATCTTATAGTTATCTGCGTCTGGCATAAAGTACACCTTAATTGTCTCGAAAAAAGACTCAATGACCGCATTGATTCTCTTTATCTCCATCTCCATGGTGTAGATTTAACAAGAGAAATTAGGATTTAACTGACTTACTGATCAATACTTCATGAAAATTGACTCTGTAATATTTTATCCCTTTAGTTTTATTATCCCTTAAGGTTGTGCATAACCCTCAGCACTTTCATACATGTTTAGAGAGCAGCACCAAGTGGCAGTCGGCAGAACTGCTGTCTTAGTTCTCCATCTGAAACTATGCTCTTACATAAAGCTTTATCTTTATTAAAGAAATTATATTTAAATCTTATAGTATTATCACCAAAATATACTATAGATGGATAGATCTTTATTGTAGCGATAGGTTGTGAGGTGATGATTAGATAGATATTTATATACTTTAATCATTCCAAATTGGGAAATTAGTGATGCATTTATGTATTTATTAACTATATCACTTTATATCAATATTATATTTATGTCACTTTAATGTTTCAGCTAGTAAACGTGAGACTCATTTTAATTACTCTCCATACCGCTGGATAGCTTGTGATTTACCCAAATGTTCTTTATTATCATCCAATCAAAAGCCATCATTACACCTAAAAGACATTTTGCTCAAAAACATAGCCCTTAAAGCGTGATATAATAAGCAATAAAACATTACATGGATTTCTTCTTCTCTTTTACCTTAATAACATAATAAACAAAGCCTTTCCTCTTCAGGGGGACAGTTATTGCCTCTGTGTAAATATTGTATCAATGTGATCACCAGGACATGTTCACTAGGTGGCAGCATTTCCAAATATTATTCTTTGTTTTATCTTCATTTAGTCATGATTGTGTCATTTGTTATTCATGTGTGCAGATGTTTTGTGGGTCCAAAGGGAAAACTGCAGTAATGCTACAACATGTATTAGGAGTATACTCTATCCTCATTCCCTATCCTGAGACCATGTAGTCTGCATAGACTAAGCGCCTTTGAATCATTACAATGTCATTCTGTTATGCAGACACAAGACGTAGGCTGCTGCCAGAGACAAAAATAAATGTGGCATTTCCTATTTGATTTCTTTATTCCTTTTTTTTTGGGGTTGTGTTTGAGGCGGCTTCATTAGAGCTGAATCTTGTCAGAAGCGGGAAGTGTCTTTCCTGGTAGGGATATTTCGTGATCACCTCCAGATGAACAGCCAGTTGTTTCAACTCAAGCTTATCAGCTGCATATGTTTCCCCGCTCAGCCCTCAGACATATTTTCAGTCTCACTGCACAGAGGGACCGATGAGACATCACAATGTGTCACATATATACGCTCTGTGCAGTTCTGCTCCAAGTTAAACAACTCAATACCTTTTTCCATTTATAAAACCATCGCACGGCAACCTGCCATAATAAAACCTTTGAAAGATTGTAAGGATTTTTTTCCCCGTCTGCCACTCAGATGCTGTATAACTTGGCGTCTCCCTGCATATTATGTGAAAATAATTCAGGATCCTGACCCAAGGCATCAAACGTTCCAGCAACACCATTAAAAACATTCCTCTGGCAAAAACAGGCCGTACAGGGCAGATTCTGTTATTTGAAGATCTTTTGAGACAATATGTTCATGTTGAAACTGTAGCTTTCTTATTAAACAAATTACTCTAATTCAAAATAGGAACGTTACACTGAAATAAAGCTCATAACCTCTGGATGTCATCAACTTTGCCATGTTATCAAATGGCACCACCCTGCATGGTCTGATCGTATGTTTATGATTGTACAACATCAGAGGATTTAGTATGAGAACAGATCATTAGCTGAAACCAGGACATGGCTATTTTTAAGCCCTTTTATTCTAATGTGGCAAATGTGGTGTGTAATAGTAGCTGAGCCTAGAAGCGAGATGGTGTCAGGGGTGGAAACTGCAGAGGGGTTGGATGGATTGATGGGCAGATGCATAGATAGATGGATGGATGGAGGTGGGATGCATTAGTCAGGGCAACAGGGAGTGGAGTACCTCTCTGTGTCTGAGTGGTAAGTATACAGCCTGAGCGACAGCAGGCAGCCTGCTCTATCTGGCTTTCAGGAATCACACAATATCACACAAAAACATCAGAGCTGGGAGACCTCCAGGTGAACGGCAATGCACGAATGAAACGGAAATAAAAATGCTTTGTGTGAATTCTTATCCTCCTGATACACAATTCAAATCATCAGAAGTTTTTTGTCAATATTGTTAATCTATGTTATTATACTTGTGGGATAGTTTTCAGCTTTCCCACCAAGTTGATTTGTTGGTTTGACATAGTCTTTGATAAGGCGATGTGAGAAAGTTGGCAGGCCATGGGATTGAGCATAATGCTCTCTTATCCTCTGCAACGCTTATCGGACATTGATATGAAGAGGTGGGAATTCACATGGGGGTTGTGGTATGTGTTTCAACACAGCTCTCGGTGCCTGATCTGATTGTCTTGGTTCAGTCCAGCAACAGGTGGAGAGCTCTCATACTGACGTGATTCATTCATAATCCCACAGTGATTTTCTTGGTGTGTTATCACAGACTCTCTTGAAATATTTTGTAGTCAGCTCTCAGAGGAGAAAATAAATATATATATAGATCCAATCAATACTTTTCATTACCTTGCTAACTAAACAAGCTTGCTAGCTCTAGCATTTGCTGGTAACTTAGCATTTGCTATGTTGCAATTGTCACATACTCCATATACTCCTGGCTCCTAGGTTCACCTCTTTTACATAATCAATGAACATACCAGTTTCTCTGATCTCAAAAATATATAAGTTATATCAAATATTCAAGTTGTGGTTGAGAAGG